ACCAAGGTTGCAGTAGTCACTTCATGCAACATGAGACTTCAAGCAACTTGAGTGAGCCAGAAACACCTCATATTCATGACACATTTGATTTTGAAGTAATGTTTGGTCACTGTAATGTTGGACACATAACTTTCAATCCACTGCAGTCCACTCTGTGACCTATGTTGGGCCAAGGCTCACCATTTAAGGAGCTCTGCTCTGAAGAATGAGAGCTGGTGAGCAGTTGGCACCAAGCTGCGCCAAATGCTGTGATTCCTTCATAACTCTCGATATATAGTCAGTATTTAATTTTTAATTCTCCTTCCCTGCTTTACAATGCTTTTTAAAAGATGGCTTGTTTGTTTAAATAAGCCTCACACATTAGACAGAGCCCTACCTCTTTCTGATGATGCCTCTTACAAATTCTCTTCATCTCATGCACCAACCGCCGGTGGTCAGAAGTTGGCTGACTTCCTCTCTCTGCTGTTATTTAACATCTTTCATTTTTGTTGCTATAGTTTTCAAGACAGGATTTCTCTGTGTAGCCCTGGTTGTCCTGGAACTCACTCTGTAGACCAGGCTGGCCTTGAACTCACAGAGATCTGCCTGCCTCTGCCTTGGTGTGCAGCTGTAACATCTTTCTTTCAGACTAATTCTCTTAAAACACCAGTGATGCCTTGACTCTCAGAGGATTGCAGACCCTGAGTGTTCGGGTCCTGGCTTCTCCTTTTCTCCTGTCTGTCTTCTGTCCCCCTCCAGCCACTCAGGCCTCCTGCTGTTCTGAGAACCTTTTCCTGGAATCCCCCCTAGTTTGAAAGTCCCAGGGATTCCCCTGTTCCTCTCTCTCCCCTCCATGTTTGAAGCCACAAACTGCTCCTTCTCCCGCCCCAGTTCCTAAGCCCCCTCCTATTCAGATACCCCACCCCCTGCTCGTACCAGCTTCAAAGATGTCATCTAATTATTTGTGATCCCTAACCAGAACATCTGTCATTTTATCCCATTCCCGGAACATAAGCTTCAAGAGGGCAGGAATTCAAGGCTGTAACCTGAGTTCCTGGATTGCTGGATTAACCTGGGCTAGTCATGTCTATGGAATAAACTCTGAATCTTCGTAGGAACCTTTGTCTGCAGGTCTCTAAAGTTGCCCCAGTTCAGGGGACCCCTCCTGCCCAGCCCTGCCTTCTGGTCTTCAGTGTTCTTTCTTACCTGGGTCCTGAGATCGGGGAATGGGGAGGGAGATCATACTCTCACCCTAACTTAGCTCTCACAGGTCCTTCTGGGAGGATACCTCCTGCTTCAGGGGAGAATGCCCTGTGAGGTTCTGAGCAGGGATCCCTGTCAGCCACACCTCTAGGAAGACTGAGGGGCTCCCACTGGGGATGACAGGCCCAGAGTGGCTGTCAGTAGGGTGAAGAAGCATGGAAAAGGTTGGCTTGGGGTTTTTTCTCAGCTTTTCTCTCTCTGACTGGCCGTGACCAAGCCTCTCTCATGATTGCAGGCTAATCCCCAGGTCCAATCCCAGGCCTCCACCCAGCTACCCAGGACTCTGAGTTCACTTCTGACCCCAGCCTGACCCTTGACCTGATTACAGGCTCCAATTCAGATGGACCCCTGATCCTGACAGTGATCCTTTCAGTCCACATCGACCCGTGATCCCAGACCCACACCTGACTATGATCCCTCTCCCCACCCTGACCTCTGACTCCCGTACTCTGACTGCAGCCCAGCCCACAGGCCTGATATGGGACCTGAGAGGTTCAGCTTGTTCCTGGCAGGCGGTAGCTGAGTCTGAACCCACCTTGCCTAGAGGAAGCTAATGCCTCCAGACAGAAAGTCCCCAGGGCACCTAGGGGCAGTTCTTACTGCCTTTTCTCTAGCTGTCCGTCCTGCCTCTGTGGCTCCAACCAAGCGGGCACTGCCTACCTGGTAATGGCTCTGTGGGCCAGATGCCAGGGGAGGGAGAAACTAGCCGGACCAGCCCGCACCTCTGTTTGCACAGGTCTTGGTAAAAATAGCCTCATCTACGCACACCTCTGTCATTTCCTCCCTGACCTGGATGGTGCCCCAGGCCCAAGACACTTGCCAGCTGTTCCTTCCCTGAGGCTTGTTTTAGCCTGGAACAGGACAGGGCTCAGAGGGGCAGGGCAGTGGCCTCTCCCAGGGTTGATCAGAACCACTCTACCAAGACCTTGGTCTCAGGTGTCTAGTTCTCAGAAAATTAATTCCTGTTGTTTCGGCCACTCTCTTTGTGGCCCTTCTTCATACTAACCCTAGAAACTCATGGTGATGACTGGTTCAGGTGACATCCAAGGGGTAGTATGCCCAGGAGCACCCTGAGACAGGAACACCCTGAGACAGGAGCATCCTGAGACAGGAGCACCCTGGGTCCTCAGCACCCCAGCAGGAGTCTCCCGGCTGGCTCAGTAATAAAGAAACAAGGTTCTTCCTTTACATAAGGTGCTTGTTGGTGTCTACCACATGCAGACATGTGACTGAAACCGCATTCCAACAAGTGCACTATCTAAAACTACCCTGTGTGTCCTCCAGGGACATGAGTCCCCCAGGCAAACAGACAGTGGCCACACTGTGGGTATTAGGCTGACTTCTCACAATGGACATGTCGACACTAACATCCCCTTGCTAGGTTTAAGTTTTTTCATTTTCTTCTGTGTGTGTGTTCATATCTTTACATGTGTGGTTGCACATGGGGGTGGGGGCATGTGGAGGCCCTAGGTGGGTGTTGTAAAGGTTCTTTTACCGTATTCTTTGAGGCAGGTTTCTCAAACAAACCTGGTCCCTGATACAGCTCACTGCCTTGCTCAGAAGACATGCTCTCTGCCTTCCAAGGCTAGGATTACAGGCAGGCTGCTATGCCCACTAGGGATTTACATGACTTCTGGGGATCCGAACTCAGGTTTTTTGTTTGTTTGTTTGTTTACAAATCAGGCACTTGAACTGCTGAGCCACCTCCCCAGACTGACCCCTGTGCTCCTTAACTGACTTAGGGTGACAGGTGGGCTGTTTTTGTTATTGTTCCTCGACGTGTAGAAGCCGCACCTTGATCTGCTCTTTCATGGTTACATGGGTTTCCCCTCTGCAGCTCACAGCTGTGGCCAACCTCTTCCTATGAGTGTGTGTGTGTGTGTGTGTGTGTGTGTGTGTGTGTGTGTGTGCGCACGCACATGGAGGCCAGCGTTCAATCTCAGTGTCGTTCCTCAGGAGCTTCCCACCTCTCTTTTTGTCTGACAGGCTCCGTCACTACTGATTTAGCCAGGCTGGCTGTGTAGAAAGCCCCGAGGAGCGGCCTGTGTCCATCTTTCCGTCACTAGGGTCCCCAGTGCTTAGCACCACACTTGGCTTTTTTCTCTGGGTTCTGGGGATCAAACTGAGCTCTTTATTCTTGTGCAATGAGCACTTTCCTGATGGAGGCATCTCCCTCGCCCCGCAGCACTCTTTTCAGGGTTATAGTGGATGGGGCCCACCCTATAATCTCATTTGAGTCTGATCACCTCACTGAAGACTGTTTCCAGTGCCACCACATCCTGAGGTCCTGGAGGCTCAAGCAAGACTTCAACATATGAATTTTTGGAGAGTACGTTGTCTGACTTAGCGATTGACCCTAAGATTGAATCACTGTAGTAAATCACGGTTGTCTGCCTCTGTGGACCTAGGTGTCGTGGCCAGCAGGTGTCAGCAGGGGACCTCCCTTGCCCCATCTGCAGGTGGATATGGCAGGGTGGTGGTCCTCTGCAGGCCTGGCTGGGTGGAGGGTCCATTTCTAAGGTGGCTCACTCACGTGGCTGTCGAGAAGGTCTCAGTTCCCACACCACAGTGTGGGAGGAGGCACCACAGGGTGTGAATGCCAGGAGACTCTTGTCCCCATGGCCCAAGCCGGCCACCGCTACTTCTGCTTTCCAGTCAGGAGGAAGAGGTCAAGGAAAAGAAGAGGACATACCTTTTCCTAGGAACAAGATGGCTTAAAAGTTCACAGTGACCTCTTTTCACGTCTCACTTGCTGTGAGCACTCACAATGGCTGTGTGTGGCTGAAACACAGCTAGGAAACGCAGCCTTCGTAAGGGACTTCAGATCTCTTGCCTGAGGAAGTCATAGGCCCTGCCGGCAAAGCTGCTGCTGTTTCACTAAATAGAAGCAATTGCCCATCAAATAGCCTTCCAATCACCTACCTATGCTCACGCCTATGCTCACGCCCGTGGGTTGGTGTTCTGATCACCTATGCTCACACCCCTGGGTTGTGAGCTTTGGCCAGAGAAACTTGGTTCCAATGGGCAGCAGTTCCTGGAGGGACACATAACTGGTCAAACTGCTGAGAATTAGTGACTAGTGACTGCTAGGCCATAAACAGGATAGACATGTTTATCACCCCTTCGAGGCTCAGGAAACACTGGAGACAGGTGGAGAGAGTGTAAGAGCTGGAGGGAGGGTGGGGTTTGTGGAACACTGTCTTCTGCCTTGGCATAGATGTTGTACTCTTCTTTTTTTTGAGACGGGGTTTCTCTGTGTAACAGTCCTGTCTGTCCTGGAACTCACACTTTAGACCAGGCTGGCTGTAGACTCACAGAGATCCACCTGCCTCTGCCTCCTGAGTGTTGGAATTGAAGGTATGTGCCACCACTGCCTGGCACTGTTGTACTTTTGAAGTACAACTACTGAAAGGAGAAAAGAACTTGAATTTAAAAATACAGAGTAAAAAAGAAAAACTCAACCAACTAACTTCAGATGCGCAAGTCTCAGAACAGAATATAAACAGCATGAATAGCCAAGACCTGTGTCCTCCATCGACAACAAGGCCCTAGCACAGAGGTTTGAATAGGAATGGCCACCATGGACTCAGGTGTTTGAATGCTTGGCCCATAGGAAGTGGCACTATTAGGAGGTGTGGCCTTGTTGGAGTAGGTGTGGCCTTGCTGGAGGAAGTGTGTCACTGTGGGGGGTGGGCTTTGAAGTCTCATATGCTCAAACTATGCCCGTGTAGGACACAGTTTATTTCCTGTTGCCTTAGGATCAAGATGTAGAACTCTCAGCAACCTCTCCAGCACCAGGTGCCTGCCTGCATGCTGACTTGCTTTCTGCCATGATGATAATGGACTACACCTCTGAAACTGTAAGCCAGCCTCTATTAAATATTTTCCTTTATATAAAAGTTTCCATGGTCATGGTGTTTCTTCACAGCAATAGAAACCCTAACTAAGACACCTAATAACCACACCTAGTGAAAATGACCTGGGAAACTGTCAGACAAAGAATTCAAAGACTGATTATAAGTATGGTCAGGGAACTCAAAGAAGACATAAATATACTTTAAGAAAATGAAAAAGAAAAGAGTAATGAAATAAGGCTATCAATCCAAGATATGAAAATAGAATTCAACAAAGATATAGACTTTAAGAAAATCCAAACTGAAATGATGGTGGAAGTGAAAAATTCAACAAGACAAATAAAAACTTTGGCAGAAAGCCCCACCAACAGAATGGATCATGCAGAAAACAGAACCGGGGTGGAAATGGAACACTCAGTAAAGGTGAACGATCAATCTTAAATATATACAAAACATACATTTACAGAAATATGAACAGAAAGGGGGAGAACTCTGGGATACCAGGAAAAGCTTTGGCTTATGAACATAGACTAACAGAAGAATGCCACAGCAAAGGCATTGAAACTCTTTCCAATAAAATTAGAGAAGAAAATTTCCCAAACCTAGAGAAAAAGTTATCTGTTTAGGTATAAGAGGACTATAATAACACTAATTAGAAAAGATCAGAAAAGAAACCCTCTATGACATAGTCAAAACATTAAAACCACAGAATAAAGAAAGGGTATTTAAGTCACAGGGAGGAGGGCTGGAGAAATGGCTCATTAGTAACAGCCCTGGCTGTTCTTGTAGAAGACTAGGGATTAACTCCCAGCACCCACAAGGTGTACACAACTGTCTGTAACACCAATTCCAGGGGGATCCCACACCTTGTCTTCCAAGGTCTCAACACAGAATATCTGTAGACCAACTCCATGTTCTGGCAGGTCCTCAACCCTCTTGGCTCAACAGCAACCAACCCTGGCAGGGGAAGGGTCTGTAACCAGGGTCTTGAGGACTGAGAAGGCAGAGCCACCCTGGGGTCAGATCTCATAGATAAGATCTTAGCCCTGGGTCTACCAACCTCATGAAACACCCGAGTAAAATGTGAAGGGTTCCTATATTTGAGTGAGAAATGCCGTTTTATTTAGCATTCTCTCCTACATGAAAGGCGACGACAGAGCAGAGGTCATCAGCCAGAGCTGTGGCTTTGTCACCAATGGAGATCTCAAGTAGCTTTACGCGTTGTCACTGGTGAAGGCGTCTCGGAGTCTTTTGCTGTCATCACTCCAGCAGCACCCCTATCGTACAGGGGTTCAGACAGAACCAAACACACACTGTAATGAGCACGAGCATACTGTGCCACAGACATTGAGGGTCACCTCTTTCACTCCACAGCGTCACAATTTAGGGAATAACAATAAATGCACAAACTACATTGATTTCATTGGCTGAAACCGACCAAGTAGTCCAGATGTCCCTCAATGGCAGGCCACTGGCAATCACCTTTTCTTTTATTCCCATCTTAATTGCTGATATGAATTCTTATATCATACCTTAACACAGCCGTGTGTGTGTATAGGCTGCAAAATAACACAGACGGGTTAAAGAGGCCTTGTGGAGGCAGAGTTGCTAGAGGTGGTTAGGTGGGAGTGAGGAAACCAGTGGGAGGGCTGAGAACAGGGCCAAGCTGTGGGGTTGAGCTGAACAACAGAGCTGCAGGGGCAGCTGGGAGGCCTCTGCCTGTTGGTCCCTTGACATGTACAGTGTGAGGTCAGATGGCGGGCCACGGGACCATTCCCATCGCAGAGGCAGGTGTGCATCTCTTCATGAGGCACAGGTGAGGCACTGCCGTCCTGATGGTTTGGTGTGCTGGGCAAACCCTCAAGCTGTCTTCCTGATATGGTTTTAAGCTGTTACTGTGCTCATAATGCTCACTTTGGTTGATTTATAAGTGAAACCCCCGGGGCTGGGGCTGCAGCCCAGTGGGCAGAGTGCTTGCCCGGCATGCTTGCAGCTCTGGGTTTGATCTTAGCCCTGCACAAACTGGGCACCATAGTGCACACTTGTAATCCCAGCTCCGGATAGGTGGGGCAGGAAGGTCAGGCACTAGATGTTATCCTTGGATGCACATTGAGTTCAAGGCCAGCCTGGGCTATATGAAACTCTGCCTATAAAACCAAATAAATGGAGGCTGATATGAAATAACAGCTCAGTGGTTAAAAGCATTTGCTGCTCTGGACCTGGGTTCAGTTCCTAACACCCACATGGCAGCTCACAACTGTATAAACTGGTGACATGACTGCTCTATGGAATTGTTAAGTGGAGGGTGTTTATTATAGATATGAGAGAGAGAACATTCAGAGGCTTCTGGAAGAGTCTAGAGCAGAGAGAGAAAGTATTAGACTAAACATGGCTAGTTGACTGGACTTGGCCATAGGAGAAGTAGGAGCAGAGCCTAGAGATGAGAGAGGGAGGGAGAAAGAGGAGAGAGGGAGATAGAGATAGATAGATAGATAGAATGATAAATAGAATGATAGATAGATAGAATGATAGATAGAATGATAAATAGATAGAATGATAAATAGAATGATAGATAGATAAATAGATAGAATGATAGATAGACAGACAGACAGACAGATAGATAGATAGATAGATAGATAGATAGATAGATAGAATGATAGATAGAATGATAGAGAATAGCCAAAATAGCAGGGTTATAAGGAGAATGCAGAGTTCAGGGGAGGGAAGCCCATGAGCTGGAGAAGTTTAGGGTAAGGGAGGCCCAGGATGCTAGGCATGGGCTTTGAGGTACTCAACAGGTACTTGTGATACTGAGGGGTCTGGAGGCCAGCATGTGCTTTGGTATGCTAATAGGCACCACAGAGAACCATAACAGTGCCTGCCATGGTGCGCTAGTGGAGGTTGCCACTTCTGATGTTGGTCCTCACCTTGCCCCTTGAAACAGGGTCACTTGTTAACTAGCTGGGTACACCAATCTAGCTGACCCACAAGCTTCTAGGAATTCTCCTGTCTCCTGCTGTGGGATGTTCTGTATGGCAAATGTGTTGCTGATTAGTCAATAAATAAAACACTGATTGGCCATTGGCTAGACAGGGAGTGTAGGTGGGACAAGGAGGAGAATAGAGCTGGGAAGTGGAAGGCTGAGTCAGAGAGACACTGCCAGCCGCCACGATGACAAACAGCATGTGAAGATGCCGGTAAGCCACGAGCCATGTGGCAAGGTATAGAAATGGATTAATTTAAGCTGTAAGAACAGTTAGCAAGAAGCCTGCCATGGCCATACAGTTTGTAACCAATATAAGTCTCTGTGTTTACTTGGTCGGGTCTGAGCGTCTGTGGGACTGGCAGGTGAGGGACTGGCAGGTGAGAGAGATTTGTCCTGACTGTGGGCCAGGCAGGAAAACTCTAGCTACAGTCTCCACTTTCCAGTTCTCTGTGGGAGCCCTGAGACCATAGACAGGTACAACCTCATCCAGCTTCATGTGGTTCTGAGGCTGTAGATGCAGGTCCTCATGAGTGTGTGGCAAGTGCCTTTACTCACTGAGCTACCTCCCCAGATGCCTGCAGTGCCTACTCCTTATTGAAATGTTTATGTCAATTCTGGTCTGGCAAGCTTTAACCCACACCTTGGACTCATTGCTTTAGGTATGAGAATTCCCTTTGGAAGACTGCACAGAGTGGCTGTGTCGTTTCATACGTAGGTTGAGGAAACCAGGTTTTCTGTTCATGGACTGCCATCATCTTGAAGGCTGATCCCAGGGGAGACTCCCCAGCTCCCTGGTCTATTCATGATGTTTGCATGTCCCTCAGACAGAAGTGAAGGTACTCAATGTAAAAAGTTGCAGGGATGTTTTGATAGGGGTGGTGGGTGCGTAGGAGATCTGGGTCGGGGCACACCCACATCACTTGCCAGTAATCCCTTCTTGTGTTCCCATGCCTGTGCTTTTTGAGGGGTCCACAAGTACATCTTTGTGGGTAGGTCAAGGTGCAGGACGTAGCCCTGAACACAGGTAGTTCACTCAGTGAAGAAAGAAAACTGAGGCAAACTGCTGTGAGCAGCATCTGAAGGGGCTGGAGTGCTGAGGAGCGAGGGTGAGAGAAGGGAGCCAGCCTCTGACAGGACGGAGGCAGGAGGAAGACTGCGAGGATGTCCCCTGGGCGGCGCTGTGGCTGGACAAGCGAGGCAGGACACAATGGGAAGGAGACCACGGTCGGGCATGGAGACAGGAGTGGAGGCTTCAGCTTGGGCTGCTGGCTAGGCCCCAGCTCTGCTCCACCAAAGCCTGGGGCATTTCCTCCTGTGGAGGCCACTGGAAGAGCCGGTCCAGCCAGCAGTCTTGGCTCTGGGGCATCTTACTGAGAAGTCACCGGCAGCTGGGCACTCCAGCAAGAAGCCATTGATGTCACTTATTCAAGTGGGATTAGCCACCCCCAGGCTCGGAGTCCTGATGTAACAAAACCTAAGGGTTTGTAAAATCATCAGATATAAAAACCTAATTGTGCACACCTTTAATCCCAGCACTCAGGAGGCAGAGGCAGGCAGAGTTCAAGGCCCTCCTGGTCTACAGAACTAGTTTCAGGACAGCCAGGGCTACACAGAAAAACCCTGTCTGGAAAGAAAAAAACAAAACCCCAAAACAAAACCAACCAACCAAACAAACAAACAAAAACCACCACCACCAACAAAATCTTAATTGCTGCATTTGTCCTGAACCTGGCTCATCCCACTCAGTGCCTGGCTTTGTTTAATTCTGCTGGAGAGTGTGGAAGCTGCGGACAGGCTTAGTGGGACCCTGGGCGAGCCTGAGCCTCAAGGTCGTGGGGGTGTTTTGCCCTGATTGTGCAGAAATCTGATTCTCACCATGGTTGTACCCAGCTGTGTGCTAGGCAACCACTCACGTTCACTATTGTGCCACGAGGGTCAGGAGGAAAGGTGACAGTGGAGGACAAAGCGACTGCTAACGGATGGCTGCTTAGTCTCCATTGCCCTAGTGCATCCTGGGAGG